TGATAATTGCAGTTCAATCAAAGTCTCCACTTATCTCCCAAAATTTGACAATTTTTTACACATTTCTTTGGAAATTTTGTTAAGGTACTTAGATCCTCAGGTTCTTCAAATCAGGCATTGAGTAATTGGAAATGCTTTCAAAAATGTATTTAAATTCTCAAAGTTATTTGTTTCCATACCCAGGAATTCTTCAAACTCCATGTTTAAAGTAATCATATGACAATGAAAATCTGAAATAATTTTTTCATTTGAATAAAAACACCTATAATAAATTTTCCAATCCACATTTGATCAACAAACACATTTAAGAATTAAAAATCATAAGTGCCCAGGCTTTTGAAGAAATTGCAAAATTGTCATGCATATTAGATGCTATTGTTTCTTCTATTTACTAAGAAGTAATTCAATCATTTTACAACGCATAGTATATAAACACTTTCCTCTCACTGCATAACACCACAATTCGCTTCTTATTTCAAATCATTTTAATAAAGATTCATATTTATGATTAGATTATAAAAATTACTTAATTTCTTTCATTATGTATTGTAATTTTAAAACTCGATTATGGGATAAAAATTTGGATTTTTTGTAAGACCTTTATGAGAACTTCAAAGAACTTAATGGATCACATGAAAATTGTGGCATTAAATGAAGGTTCAATTTTCAAGCTTAATTTTTTTTGACTTTGTGAATTTGATTCCAAATCTAAGAGTTATCCTTCCTGGCTGAGGATTGGAGTACCTTAATATAATTTTTTTTATAAAAACATTGAAACCTCAATATGCATTTTTACTTGCTATTGAGAGTGATGATAAAAAGGGATAAATTATGACTGAATCATTATGCGCTGAATACAAAATGGACTCATGTATATGAATTTGTTGCAAACTATTACATACCTAACACAATATCAACTGTATAATAAAAGAAAGTAGTAGTGATACATATAAATTTTGTTAATAATTACATGTACATTTACCCATGATATCATAGTTTGAAAAAACTTGTGTATATATGTATTAATTTTTGTGCTGCCTACAGAGCAGAGAAACAGTTAGGGATCACTCTACCTGCCTCTGTCTGACTATCATAGATGTAGACTGATTTATTTTGCACATGTTTAAGTATAGCGCTATGGCCGTGCTAAAATACCTCCTGACATTTGAACAAAAATTGTGATAATTAGGTCATTGAGATTATTACCCATATGGGATATATATATCTCCCTGTTTTATCTTTTACAAATGGCTGGTACTGTACCCTGATTTTTTTGTAAGGAACCTAATGTTTAAGTACTTAGACTTCAGTGACAAATTGTTTGCCAAAAAAATTGTTAAAACCCAGTAATTAAGTTTACAAAATGTGCATGAATAAAAAGGTTGTTAAATTAAGTAAAAGTATTTTTTTGTTCATCAAAGGTAACAATTCTATTCATTATTATACCCCCCGCAAACGAAGTTTGGGGGGTATATAAGAATCACCTTGTCCGTCTGTCTGTCCGTCCGTCTGTCTAGCTGTCCGTCTGTCTGTGCAACTGTGTCCGGTCCATATCTTTCTTACAAAGGGACATTAGAATCTACTACTCCACACTAAGATTGCCCATGACCCAAGGGTGTGTCATGACTTTGATCCAAGGTCATTTGGGGAAGTTCAAGGTCGCTGGAAGAAAAATTTTATAATTTGTGTCCGGTCCATATCTTTCTTATGGATAAACTTGGTAGGTTCTCATTTCACACAAAGATTGCCCATGACCCAAGGTTGTGTCATGACCTTGACCCAAGGTCATTTGGGGAAGTTCAAGGTCACTGGAAGAAAAATTTCATAATTCCTGTCCGATCCATATCTTTGTTATGGATAAACTTGGTAGGTCCTCATTTCACACAAAGATTGCCCATGACCCAAGGGTCATTTGGGGAAGTTCAAGGTCACTGGAAGAAAAAATTCATAATTTTTGTTTGATACATATCTTTATTATGGAAAAACGTACCTCTGAAAAACCCAGCGGGGGGTATTTTGTCCCGTTTGGACAGTTCTAGTTTATGACAGTCGAAGATTATAGGCATTGCATTGAGGTAATCCATGTCTGCCACAATCATTAGTTTATACTTGTACTTATATTTATTATATACCCAACTGTTTATTACTAATAATTATGTCTGTTTAATTTGTGCATTAAATGCGAGGTGATTTAATTTTCGGGATCAGCACACTGTGAATTCTAAATCCATATCACCGCTCTCTGAAACTGATGGTGTAGTATGCACTCGCACTGCATGTATACATGGTTCTTTCCCCTTTGCACAAAGAATTTTTTGAAAAAAATTATAACTTTGTTTAATGGATTAAGATTAAGGCTTGGTGAAATGTTTTGTTGTGGAAGTAGTAATAGAATATGATAGGCAGACAAGATTAGTTAGGTTTTCAGATGCCAGCATAACAGCAATAAATTGAGGAACTTACAGTGCATTTGATTTGTGCACATAATTATGCAATTTTTCCAATGGATGGCACTCAATAGATGTCTTGTATATCTAAAATGAAGATAGGGAGTGAGGATTTCTTTTCAGACCAGTGTGCTTCAGGGACCCGTTTTACAAAAGATCTAAATGCGGCTAAGACCAAAATATTTAGTAGTTATACCCCCGCAAATGGTGTTTAGGAATCAGCTTGTTTGTCTGTCTGTGCAAACGTGTCCGATCCATATCTTTCTTACAGAGAAAACATTAGAATCTACTACTCCACACAAAGATTGCCCATGACCTAAGGGTGTGTCATGACCTTGACCCAAGGTCATTTGGGAAAGTTAAAGGTCACTAGAAGAAAAATTTCATAATTTGTGTACCGTCCTTATCTTTATTTTAGATAAATTTGGTAGGTTCTCATTTCACACAAAGATTGCCCATGACCTTAGGGTATGCCATGACCTTGACCAAGGTCATTTGAGGAAGATCAAGGTCACTGGAAGAAAAATTTCATAATTCCTGTCGGGTCTTTATCTTTCTTATTGATAAATTTGGTGAGTTTTATTTCACACAGATTCCTCATGACCTAAGGGTTTGCCATGACCTGGACCCAAGGTCATCTGTGCAAATTAAGGTCACTGGAAGAAAAATTGTATAACTTGTGTTTGGTACATATCTTTATTATCGAAAAACTTGAATCTTCTACTTCACAGAAGCATTGCTTATGACCAGAGGCCTGTTCAACGGAGCGAACGTTCAGGAGTGCTCACCAAAATTACAAAGACCGCGGAACATTTTATTTGCAAATTGGAAATATACAGCTTACGTCATTTCTATCTGTTACAATCAAAACATTCAATGATAGACAAAGAGATGGGAGGGTACAATTTGACGCGGACGTTTGGAAAACATCCGATTGAAATTGCAGATCGAAATTCATTTTCAATCCAACTCAGCTACGCTAGAAGGCACATTCTTACTGATTGACCCAGAAGACAAATAATTTCAATTTTGGTACAGTTTGACGTAAGCTGTATATTTCCAATTGTCCAATTCCAAGGTCACATTTTATTGATGACATTAATAGTAAAATATTTGAAAGCAGTTGTAGCATTACTTTTGGATAATTCCTGGTTACTCATTATTATTTCAGCATCATGTTTTGTATGGAGTGTGGGGAGGAGTTGTTGGAGGGGGCCAAATTCTGCCAGGCTTGCGGCGTTCCATTAAAAAAGAAATGTATGTATAGCAAAGGTAAAACTCAATCTATGGAAAGATAATTATTATGTTAGAAATAAATAATTATTTAAGACACTTGAATAATTCTGGGTTATTCAGACTGTGTAGATGAAAAATTGTTAAATTGATGACCCCCCTGGGTAGGTTGGGCCACAGTAGGCAAATAAGGGAGACAATCTGGGTTCAAGAGTGAACAGCAGGGCCACAGTTACCCAGGTGAGAATTGTGACCTATGGGCATTTTGTTCCCATTCTAATAGGGTTGAAAAATAAGGTAAAGCAAGGACTGTTGATTCATATTTAAAATTGCATATCTAGTATGGTACTCATAATCCCTGTTATTTTTTAAGGCAACACATCTGGAGACTCTGGTAACAATGTGAAGTCAAAAGGTATTGAATATAAAGATAAGTGGATTACCGGTAACTGCTAATAGTATTAAACTTAATTGAGAAGCATTCAATCAGGAGGACCTCAGAAACATAAACTACTAAACTTAATACTTTTTCCCTCAGATTCAGGAAGCCAGGCAACTTTGACTTCATCTACATCAAAGATCAATGAGAGTACCGGTAAGTATTTTAAATTGCTATGTATTTCAGTAAGAATGATATCACTCTGTTCACGAGTATGCATGAATAAATAATCAAAAACATTTGATCTACATTGAAATAAATTATTTGATATCTTTAAAATAGGACTGATAGCAAAATTAAGAGAAAAATTTCTGGAGAGCCAGAAGAAAATGAGCTGCAAACGAAGAAACATCCAGAAAGACACAGATACAGATACAGCTCTGGAGGTAAGAATAATAACAAGATTATAATTTTTTTTGAAATGCTGATTACAAGTGAGTTCATATGAAATTTTGCCACATATGCATTGCCTCTTAAGCATGGGGATCATATTTGGCAAAGTTTCCTGTGTTGACAGTTACTTATTAGTTTTGTTACTGAAGTACATGTATAGCCCTACTCCCCATTGGCCCACCTCTCTACCTTCTCTAAGCCTTGGGTGTCTTGGCCTGCAAGATGTGCTGCTCAAAATGATTTAAAGAAACAAAATTAATTTAAGTCAGATAATACTTCAGTTATCCTAAATTAACATTTAAACAAGCATCTAGTTAACTTTTACATGGTCAAGCACTTTTCCTTCAAATAATATATAAAATTTCAGAAGTTAAAGTTACAATAAAACTCCTTTAGTATGAACACGGATATAGCGAATTTACGGATATAGCAAAGTTATTTTGGATCCCCAACTATATATTAAATTAAATGAATTCCTTATACGGATATAACGAATTAAGGATAGAGCGAAGTGATTTCATAGGTCCCTGTGACTTTGTTATAACTGAGTTTTACTGTAATTAATTTAACAGATAGAGCGATGTGATTTCATAGGTCCCTGTGACTTTGTTATAACAGAGTTTTACTGTAATTAATTATGTTCCCCAAACGAAGTTGGGGAACATATTGTTTTTACTCTGTTTCTTATTATTAAGGTCTTCCGTCTTCAGCGGAAGACCTTCTTGTTATTCTTAGGTTTCTTTTCCACTATTTTTATTATTATTATTATTATTGTTTTTTTTTCTTACCGATTTTGTGCACGCGATTTCTCGAAAACGGCTCGCTCGATTTTCATGAAACTTTCAGGACTGATAGAACATCAAACAAAGCTGATATATAATTTTTTGTTTTAATGACGTCACTTCCGGTTTTGAGATTTCCGCGATTTAGTGATTTTCAGGGGGTCTCATTGTCCATCATTTTTCTCTAAAATGCCTTTAGACAGAAACATAAGATTTTCAGCGATGATAGAGCAATGTGTGCTCTTTTGTCACACACCACTCTTTTTCTCCGGAAGTGCCGCACGTCGGCGCTCGCTATGGCTCGAAAAATGTTCTATCAGGGATTTAGAAATTTTTGACACCTTTTCTGCAATATCTTTTTACATGTTAACATTTTATAAAAACATATAGAACAAAACTTGTAGAGAATGTCACGATCTTTCGAAAAATATCAACGATTAGGGGCTGGCCCCTATGATAAAGGGCCAAAAGGGTCCGAAAGTTTTTCCTTTATATCTCAAAAAGTATTGAGAATTAGTAATACATTAAAGAAGCAAAGTTGTTCAAAATGTCAAGCTCTATCTAATGAGGTCGTCAAAATACGTCCGGCGACGTCACTTCCGGTCAAACCGGAAGTAGTCAAAAATTGCATATTTTTGCCCTTCTTGACAGGTTTTTGGGTAACATATGTCACTGGAAGCTTAAATTTTAATTTTCCGGCCGTCGACGTCACTTCCGGTCAAACCGGAAGTAGCCAAAAATAGCTTATTTTGAAGGTTTTAATGCAAAATTGAAATTATAAAGTCACTGGAGACTACTTAGCTCATTGCTTGCTTTTGTTTTTACGTCACTACCGGCACATCCGGTCAAAACCGAACGGAAGACCTACTCGTTGCTTTGCAACGAGCTCGGCTCTAGTTAAGGTCTTCCGTCTTCACGGAAGACCTTATAGTTATTCTATTGTTTCTTATTATTATTCTTTTTTTTTAGACAAAATTTTGTGCAGACGATTTCTCGTAAACTATTCGGTGGATTTCAATGAAAATTTCAGGAATTATAGGTCATTATATGAATTTTATATAAAATTCCGTTTGTTGGAAAATTCGCTACCAGTGCCAAGTTATGGGCAATTTCCTGATTTTAAAATGCAATTTTGTCTTCGAATGTTCTCGAAAACGGCTCAAGATATTAACTGGAGACTTGTTAGAGATGATAGACCATGAGTTATAGATGTGCAATTTTGCCTTCGTTTGCGTCGTCAGTACTTCCGGTCGCTACAGGAAATGAATTCAAAATGTGCACTTTTTCAACTTTTTTTGTTTTTCAATATTTTTCTTTGATATAATTAATGGTAATTAAGATCCTACTGGAAAGGCCAAATATATAATTTATTTAAGAATTGATCAATCCACACACTAGATATTCGCATTTAAAAATCTGAAGCGTGTTCAAGATGGCGGCGGTCTCCGTAAACTCCGCCATTAAGCAAGTCGGGTTCTAGAAGGTCAGCTGAGCGTTTAGATGAACGAAACTTCTACAAAAAAGATTTATGAAATGTAAAGGATTCTTTAGATTGCTACATCGCAATTACGTTGCATTGAGTATAGTTTTTATATGAGGTTTCCTCAAACTTCTATTGAAATTGCTTTTGTCTGCATCTCATAGTAGAATACAACATGACTACAAGTGGAAATACGATGAATACAGTCTTTTGTTTTGCACCAGGGAAAACTTATCCTAAACCATGGTTATAAGTAATAGCTTTTCAAGAAACTTGCCTGACTTAATATTCACTATGTTTCTGAAGTATTACTTGACTTCTGTTTATTTTACCTCGCAGTCTTATGACATATTAAATGAATAGAAAAGACAAAAATAAGAAAAACATTTTTTAAAAAAGATTGTTTATTAAAGGTAATATAAATATTCTTGTAATAAATGCAAGTTATTGAACATGAAGAGTATCAGATTCCTTGACCGTCGGAGGGCGAGTAAATTTTTTTTTCAGTGAAACATTCCAGTCTTTTCATGAACGTGTAACTCATCTCCACTTTGGGGGTAAACAGGATACAAAATTCGTGGAAAATCTCACCGAATTCACAGCTTTAGTGTTACTTGGCCGTCTACGATATTATATTTGTACCATGTGATAAATATACTTTCTTACGCTCGAAATTCCGGTTATAAGAACATACATTTCTAATTTTCATTGAAGCTATCAGATCCATTAAATAGATCAAACATTCCAAAGGAATAGCGCGAAGAACTACTTGTGACGTTTGGCACGAAATAATGTATCATGGCCGACTTCAGTAGTAGACAAATGGCGACAATACTGCAGAAATATATAACATTGGCATGCTTGTATATGGTTTTGCATGGAATAAAAAGTTGAATACATATCGAATAAAGGAAAGAAAACAGTATCATCTGTTCATCACTAATAGATTATCTATCCTAAAAATTACTGTTAAAACTCAAGTTACAAGTTCCGATGTGATCATCTTGAGCAAGTTTGGCGCGAAGATTAACTCGTGGCGTTTAACGCAAAATTATGAATAGTGACCGCCTTTCATTATTCTAAGACAGATGAATTGTTTCAGAAGTAATATACAAGTAGATTTAGAGATGTGGTCCCAATAGCGTAACAGCGCTTTATATTTCCATGCTGGCGACCCGGGTTCAATCTCCTTTGTTTCCATAAAAAGTTTTATCACTTTTTCAGCTCGATTTTGCGAAAGGGGGGGGGGGGGTCAGAATCGGACGGAAGACCTCTCGTTGCTCGCAACGAGTTTCTTTTCTAGTATTCTTACTATTTTCGTATTGACCAACTTTTGGGAATGACCTTTCTCCGGTCCATTTCTCCAGAACAGCTTAAGATATGAAAGTTTACTGTGTCAGATATCATAGATCAGGACTTGAAGATGTGTCGAACAACATTTTTTCCGTCGTCAATTCTTCCGGTCGTCACAGAAAAGGGTATTAAAAGTCGATTTTTTAAATTTCTTTGTCTTTCTTTCTATCTTTTTCTGTGATATTCGTGACATAAGTAAAGGCCCCTATTTGCTGATTTTACGTATAACCAGTTTCTTGATTTGATAAAGAAGGAATTAAATATCTTTGAATGTCTTAGAACTTTCGCAAACGTAGGTTTAGCGTTTCCTTAAACACTTAAAAATATTAATTTCTTTTTCTCATAAATAGACTGCGCCAGAGGTAATACACATTGTACCAATGTGCAGGTACGGTCTTCCCCGGGATGGGGAATGGACCTTTAGAAAACCTTCCCTGGTTCAATAGAGACGAGATGTTAGCAAATAAAATGTTGAAAACATATATCACGTGTGTGCATCTTATTATCCCCCCCCCCCCATTTTTTTGTTAACTGTAAAAAACCTATCCCCACCTTTCTAACTTATTGAAATGAATGCTAATTCCGCTTTAATGTTTTACATTCTACAAAAAATGACCTTGACATTTATATAACAAGGCACTCTTCTTGAAGTTAAGAAAATGATAAAGCTTAATTCTTTCTACAAAATAATGGTAATTTACAAGTCTATATTCAAGACAGCCCCCCCCCCCTCGGAAGCGCGCAGCCAGGTAGAATTCGCAGATATAACATATACAACTTACAAGTAACGTTTCAAAAGTTTCATTCATAAAAAAATTAGTTCCCCTAATGTCATCTGATAATTTGCTATCATTCATTCTTCCTATGTTTTGTCTATAGAATTTATAATTATTTTATTAAAAAAAAAATTTATCTTGAGAAAATAAAGATTGTCAGCTGCATTTATTAGCATCTCGCATTTTCTTGTATATCTTTTACTTGCATATGAATAATGTCATTAAATAAAATAAAAGAAATCGAACTCTATTTCCATCTTTTTTAATTCATTCATAAATCCTTGGATCCGCTCGCAGCTGCGCGGTGGCCTCATCGCTACTGTAAACAATTCATTCATCACGCCGAAAATGTTCATGATTCCGCTAAACTAAGAAAGTTAACACATGGTTTATCATCTCATAACAAAAAGCAGCCCTGTCCAATGCAGGAATGCTCGAGTTAAAGAGGAAAATTCAGGAATTATTTTGCATCGGCCATATTTTGCCGTGAACCTATGCGACATTTTGTAATTAAGGTCTTCCGTTTCAACGGAAGACCTTCTTATTATTCTGTTGTTTCTTTTCAACTTTTCTTATTATTATTCTTACCGATTTTGTGCAGGCGATTTCTCTTAAATGCGCTTTTTATGGATTTTTATGAAACTCTCAGCATTGATGACAAATTATATGAACTTAAGGCGATTTTAGTAGTAGTATTCTTACTATTTTCGTATTGCCCAAATTTTGGAAATGACCTTTGTCCGGTCCATTTCTCCAGAACAGCTTAAGATATGAAAGTTTACTGTATCAGATATCATAGATCATGACTTGAAGATGTGTCGAACAACATTTTTTCCGTCGTTTATTCTTCCGGTCGTCACAGAAAAGGGGATTAAAAGTCGATTTTTTTAAATTTCTTTGTCTTTCTTTCTATCTTTTTCTGTGATATTCATGGCATAAGTAAAGCCCCCTATTTGCTGATTTTACGCATAATCGATTTCTTGATTTGATTAAGAAGAAATTAAATATCTTAAAATTTACGCAAACGTAGGTTTAACGTTTCCTTAAACACTATAAAATATTCATTTCATTCTCTCATAAATAGACCTCGCGACGTTCAATACACATTGTGTGATACACAAGTTTGCAGGGTCAAGTCTCTCTCGGGATGGCCAAAGAACCTGAAGAAAAACTTCCCTGGTTCAATCGAGGCAGGATATTAGTGAATAAAGTGTGTAAAGAATATATTAAATGTCTTCATCTTATCCCCCCCCCCATTTCTTATTTTATTGTACTGTTAAAGACCTATCCCCCACCTTTCTCACATATTGAAATGAATGCCAATTCGGCTTTAATGTTTTCCATTCTACATAAACTGATCTTGACATTTATGCAACAAGACACTCTTCTGGAAGTTAAGAAAATGATAAGGCTTAATTCTTTCTACAAAATAATGGTCATTTACAAGTCTATATTCAAGACAGACCCCCCCCAACACCCCGGAAGTGCGCAGACAGGTAGCCTTCGCAGATATAACATCTACAACTTACAAGTAACATTTTAAAAGTTTCATTCATAAAAATCAGTACCCCTAATGTCATATGATAATTTCCTATCATTCATTCTCCCTATGTTTTGTCTGTAGAATTAATAATTATTTTATTTAAAAAAAATTATCTTGAGAAAATAAAGATTGTCAGCTGCATTTATTAGCATTTCGCGTTTTCTTGTATATCTATTACTTGCATATGAATTAAATAATATAGAAGAAATCGAACTGCATTTCCATCTTTTTTATTTCATTCATAAATCCTGGGATCCGCTCCAGCAGCTGCGCATGGCCTCATCGCTACTATAAACAAAACAGTCATCACGTCGAAAATGTTCATGTTTCCGCTAAACTAAGAAAGTTTACACATGGTTTATAATCTCATAACAAATATCAGACCTGTCCAATGCAGAAATGCTCGAATTGAAGGGGGAAATTCAGGAATTATTTTGCCGTAGCCATATTTTGCCGTGAACCTAGGCCACATTTTGTAATTAAGGTCTTCCGTTTCCAACGGAAGACCTTATTGTTTTCGTTCGGTTTCTTTTTCCCTATTATTATTATTTTTTTCTTACCGATTTTTGTGCACGCGAGTTCTCGGAAACGGCTCGGTCGATTTTAATGAAACTTTCAGATCTAATAGATATTGATCTGAACCTTACTGGAAATTTTTTATATTGATGACATCACTTCCGGTCGTGAGATATGGACGATTTTCTGATTTTCAGAGGGTCGGCTTGTCCAGGAAACTCCTCCAAAACGACTTAAGATATTGACTTAAGATTTTCAATGAAAGTAAACGATGGTTTAGTGAATTGTAATTGGGTCTCCAAATCTTTCTAGCGCAAAAGGCGCCGGAGCTTGGTAGAGCCTGAAAAAATGTCTCAGAAACATCTCACAAAAATTGACACATTTTGTTTCATATCTTCGTACCTGTTCATAATTTGTTAAAGCATATTGAAGAAAAAAATGTGCAAAATTGCAAAACCTTTCATTTGATATCAAGAAAATGAGACTGACTCCTCAAATTAGGGGCTCAGAGGGGCCAAAAGTCTTTTTTCTATAACTCTCTAATGATCAATATTTTGTTATGCATTACTGAAGCAAAAGTATTTATCGTAACGATTAGCAACAAGATATTATAAAATTTTTGTCATAGGTTACGTAATTAGGGGTCACTAGGGGCCAGAATGCTAAATCTTTGAGGTTTTATATCTCGAAAAGGGCGAATATTTTGATAAGCAATATTGAACAAAAGATGGTCAGAATAATGTTTTAAACAATATGCATAATTCAAATTTTTGTAAAACGGCCCCATTAAGGACTTGGAGGGGTAGCCCCTAAATATTTCCATTCAGCATATCTCCACAACGAAAAGACATCCCTGAATAGATGTTGAACAAAAAGTCTTTGATTTCACAAGACTTTTCATTTACAATCAAGAAAAAGGGGCTGAATCCTCAAATTAGGGGCCCAGAGGGGCCTAAAGTCTTTCATCTTTAGCTCATGAATGATAAATATTTTGTAATACATTACTGAAGCAAAGATATTCATTGTAACGCTTTGCAACAATGTTTTATAAAATTTTGATTACATGTTGCTGTTGCGTAATAAGGGGTCGCAAGGGGTCAAAATTCTATATTTTGGATGTTTTACATCTCAAAAAGGAGGAATAGTTTAATTATAAGCCATACTGAACTAAAGATGCTCAAAAAATTGTGATATAAATCAGAAAAAATTAAATTTAATGATAGAAAACTTAATTTCATTACCTTATTACGAATATCTCAGTAAAAATCACATCTCATCTTATCGATAAATTCAACGGAAGACCTACTCGTTGCTCGCAACGAGATCTCATCTAGTTATTATTATTTTTCTTCTTCCTGGGAAAATTTTGTCCACGAGTGATCTTGTAAACTACACATCCGACTACGGTAAAATGTTTTTAGGGTCAGTAGACATGTTATGTAGATTTGCCGAACGAAGGTCATTTTGCGCGCACGTGCTTGCAAGAGCGCGCACGTGCAACACGTGAAATGACCAATATAATGGATATTGCTTTAACTTTTCTTTTTTCTAATGAATTTTTTTGAAACTCAAAACGTAAGGATACATTAGTAGTATACACAAGATGGCATGGTCAAAATAGCAAGATCTCACGCGCATGCACGTGAGCTTCGCTCTGATTGGCTGAAATTAAAGTCTCAATATCTTTCTTGTTTCTTGTCATAATCTTTAGAAATTTTGAACATAGTCCTACATTATGAAGATCTACAGCATGATATATAAAAATTTTCATGAAAGCATGCGCATGCGCGTGTGCTGCAATCTGATTGGCTGAAACTTTAAATGGCTATATATCCTTTGATTTTTGACAAAATGCTTTGAGATTTAAAACATAGTCGTGCATTAGGATATCCTACAATATGAAATAGAAAGAAAGTCATGAAATCACGCGCATGCACGTGTGCTGCAATCTGATTGGTTGAAACTTTAAATGGCTATATCTCCTTTGTTTTTTGACGAAATGTTTGGAATTTTGAAATATAGTCATTCATTAAGATATCCTTTAATACGATAAAGATAAGAATTCATGATATCACGCGCATGCATGTGTGCTGCAATTTGATTGGCTTAAACTTCAAATGGCTATAACTCCCTTGTTTTTTAACCAAACAGGATGGGATTTAGAACATAGATAAATATAAGGGACTCCTACAAGAAGGTGTATTCATCATGCAAGTGCTTGCACGTGCGTGCACGTGAAATGAGTAAAATAAAAAATACACTCGAGTGAGTATATTTTTTAATACTTTTGGATTAAATGCTTTGATATTAAGTATATTTAAATATATAAATAGTGTAGACAAGATAATATGGTCGTTATGCACATGAACACGCGTGCAATGCTTAAATTTAAATATATTTTGTATTCTTCTGGGAAGACTTTGATTAAGTCTAAATTCCATATAGTATTTCTTATTTAATAGAGATTACAGGGAATATGGCACCAAAAGGGAGTTGGGGAGCGTTTGGGGAACATCTGTAACGGTCCCCGTTACAATAAGCACTAGTTTAAAATAGTTTGGTTTGGACTTCTAATTGACTTCAGCAAGTCCATTGCATTCTACCCTGCTGTATATTATAATTTGAACAATCTTCCTGTGCAATGAATTATTAACTGTAATTGAAAGTTAATAGTAATTGTTCTAAAATAACATATTATTCCTAATGTAGACATTGGAAGTAAGATTCCTAGACCAGGAAGAACACAGAATTCAGAGGATGTTCAGCGGATCATCAGCAATGGAAATAAAAGTGGAGTGTATATCAACTTTGGAGGACTGGATGCAAATCGTAGCATCTTCTTTCAAGACAAAGTTTAGTATGCATCCAGTCCTCCTGAAGGATGGAAAGTATGAACAAATTCCGTCAGGAACAACACTAAGCAGACTTAGACAAAAATCAAAAGGCAAACATAAGCACTTTGGATTTTATGTTAAGGTGGATGCAAGTGAGTTGTATTTATATTATTTATTTTTAATTTCATAACAGTAAAGCAACTACAAAAGAGCAATTATTTGAATTGCCTAGATCATTGAAGTGACTAGGCCTGCATGCATTTTTTAAGAAATGTTTGCTTGCTGTCTCCCAACTCAGGATATAAATTAGGGTAGGTTGTAAAAAATTCCTATGACCCCTAGCTTTTGAAGAATAGAGGGCAAAATTCTTATCTGCCAACTGTCCATTGGTCGGTCCACCAACAGTTTCTGGTCAGTTTCTTTGTAGAGGTTGCACTAACAGAAATGAAATTTGGTATACTCAAGTAATAAAAACGCTATTCAGAGAACATGGCATTATAAATAGCAATTACTCTGCTGGCATATTCCATGATGTGCACTAGCATGCCAGCAGAGCTATTGCTGTTCACTTGCTATGTTTACTGAATAATCGTTGTTTATTACTTAAATTTGCATTCTTTGATGTTGTCAAGAATATGAGAGGAAATTATGGCTTACATAAGGACACAGATCTTGTCTCGAGTAAAAAAAAAAACACGGCTACAAATTAAAATCAGTATACCTGATTAATGTACCTTTTCTCAAATAAATCATCTCATTGTTTTCAATTATATGTTTGCCTCTCAACTATACAGCTATCTGGATAAAAGCTGTGTCGTCACCACAGTTCTGAAAAGGGAATTGCACTCATAGCAGAGGTTATTGCGTTTATAGATCTGTAAATGCAATGAAAGTCTTCAGGTTCATATTGGGAGACAGCAGAAGGTTTGCAAATATAGATTTATATGTTAAGAATATAGAGGTCAAATTCTGGTTTGGGTATGAAAGAGCAATATTTGACAATCATATACCAGTTGGACTTTGAAAATTTTAATTTTGCAAACATCTTTTATTTTATTCAAAATTTCCTGCAAAAGTGAGGCTTTAATAAATACAGAAGTATTGAATTAAAGAAACTGCTTCCATGAGACTTAAAAAAATGTTTTCAATTGGGTTGCAGAGGCGTATATTCCTTTCTGTTCATGTGTAGGCTATTGTGAATCGGAGATTCACGTGAGGCACAAAGCGCCGAATGGGGGTAGGTACGGGAGGGGTCGCCCGTTGGCGGGGGTTTGGGGGGCCTCCTCAAGAAAAATTAGAAAATTAGATACGAAATCATTTATGATAAAAAGATTCTAAAAACAAATATATTTGAAAGTATATATGTGTATATAAATTCTTGTTGTAAAACCACATAAAAAAATTAATTGTTGTTTTGTAGGAAAATTTGTATTTTTTCAATTTTTTTTTGTATTAGGCAATTTTAAGACAACCAAATTGTTATTTCTCCAAACAGTGATTATGATAAATTTAATCTTACCATACTTTTAGTTTTGAGAATATATATAACCACTGGCAAAATAGACAAATTTTACCAGCGTACAGTTGAACCTTGTTTAGTACCTGTAGTAGCAAATAATATGGTAAGTTTATACACTAAAGATGATATAGTACTTAACACTTTATATCATTGCATGACATGATCACCTATGCCTTCAATGTGTTGTTTGTTGTCCTATTCATAAGTAAACGTAACTAATTTTTAAAAAAATATATTTTCTGTTATAATTATACTTCATAGTAAGTTTTGAAATCTTGCCTTGAAGCAAAAAATCGGAATCAAACGGTCAGATTAAGTGGAATGAAATAAAATTTAAAAGGCAAGACCTATTTTTAAAGTAACTTTGATTATTAACTCTGTCAATTTATATTTCAGAGTTATATATTTATATATTATTTGTACACCTTAATTTAGAAAATGATGTGTAGGCTGCAGCCTTTTAACCTATATGGAATATATGTGTTACTGGGTTGTTTTGAGTTAATCAATTGGGAGATGGCAAACAAACAATTTTTGAAAAATGGCCTGATATTCTTAAGTTTTTCATACACTGCAGTGTTCACTAATGAATAATTCTTCATATGAAAAAATAAATTTCAGCAAGGAAACAGCTTATTAAAAACCTCATTAAAGTAAGAAAATTTGTTTGAAGCTGATGGTTTTAAAAAAACTGTTGGAAAAAAACCTCTGATCAAATTTTGTCTGTTTTCTAATGAATAAATTTATTTACAAAGACCATATTACCGTTAATTAAACTATTTCAGAAAATATTGTGGAAGGATATATACATCAGGTAGTGGATCTACATTGGATGTCACTGTTTTCTTTGAAAAATATCTTTTGATAAGACCAATAATATACAAAATGCAGGAAAGTTTTAAGATAGAATGCTTAGCAATCTAAAATGTTGCCTAAAATTATGTGTATAAGCTTTGAGTCCCAGTGCTTGAATTCTGTCTATTAAATTCTGCCCAATGTGACCAATTGTATTGGAAATAGAACTGTCCAATTAAAAATTTTATAGCATTTCTTTTTTATACAATATGTATTAGACCAACATAAACACCATTTGTATCATTTATATTTGTTTGTTAATTGTTTAACATCTCTCTTGAGAATTTTCACTCCAATAGATAACAAAGCACTTGCAGATGGAGATCTGCAACTTTTGTCCTCTACTTGGCACTTGGGCCATTGAGCAGTGAAGAATCTTCTTCTGTGTCAGTACCTTCTGCTACATGGGACCTCAATCAGATTATACAGTTTCATCTGAAGGACCTGTCTCCAAGTCCCACAGTGGGATTTTTATTATGTATACTTCATATATCTGAACACTGTTTTAATAAGCTGATAGTACAAAGACTTTGTCAAATTATCGAAATCAAATAGCCAAATTAGAAACTATGTTCATCTGAGCATGTGGTTTATTTGTTTCATATTATCACAGGTTACATTTTTTTGTTCACCTCAATGAAATTGGAGGAAGCAAAGTTATACTGATGGCATCCCAGATTAAGCATTGTGTTGCAAATTTCTTTTCAAGCACTTAATTTATGTGTCCTATACTGTATACAATGTTATTTTTGCCCCAAGTAATTTTCGCTCTTTCACACATGCAAACAATTTTGCCGTTTTAAATTTGCCCACTAATAGTTTTATTTAAGAAATTATGCTGTATTCTTTGAAATTGCCCCGTTTAAAATTCGACCAAATGAGGGTAGGGCGAAAGGGGCGAAAATAAAACTAGGGTGAAAATTTCCCTGATTACAGTATTCTACAGAGAAGCTAGGTTTTGTCATTGTACCAGTTAAGGTTTCAGATGCTACAACTTTGATAATTTTCCAGATGAGCAACCAGGTTTAAGTCTTTGTAGCCGGTCTCGTTTCCAAGTAACTATAAGGCAGCTATATTAACAAAACCTGCATGGATGATACATGTATACATATATACATGTAACTTAGATGTACCAGGCTTGCTTCAGTGCTGAATTTAAACTACATTATTCATATGAGTGACCTGTTCAGCATTTTTGAAGCAAGTTTTTATTCCATATTGTCTGTAAGCCTTATGTTAAGCAACTTATAAGTTATAAGTGACATGAGTAAGTTATTTGCAGCAGATTAGTTTCTAAAGAAACTACAATTTTGTATTAGACTTTCTTTAACCAAACTTGCATGGATGAATACTAGCAGACTTGCTTCAGATGTTGAATCTGTCCTTCACTTTCCTGGTGAATGATCAGAATAATTTTTTTAGAGCAGGTTCATTTCCAATAACTTTAAGACTTACCTGACCCAAACTTGAATGGATAGTGCAACTAAGGATTTGCCATACTTAACATATGCTTAAAACAATATTCATTGAGGTGAGCTTTGTTATCTCTGCATGATTACCAAAGTTTATTTCATTTAGTATTGCTAATTCAACAGTTCTAAATTTTTGTGTCAGACTCAATGCATGTTGCTTTACAAGTATTTCATTTATTCTATTAATTAAAAATAATATTTCTTCAGTATAACTTAGATACAGTAAGTATAGTTAAAGTTGACAGAAAAATTTCAATTTCACAAATAAAATCCTCATAAATTTTTTTTTCTAAATTTAGAAAATTATATATCTCTAGATATGTAAGGAGGTCCTATTAAAATGACTTGTTATTTTCTGGATGGTAAAACATACCTATGTAGCTAGTAACATGAGCTATGATTGGTCACAGGATCAAGTGTAAATTTCTGTGCACCAGACTTGAGCCGGGTGTGTATAAAACCA